ACGATTTAAGAGAAATGTTTGCTTAGCATTCCAGAGCTATTATCCTGGCTGAAGGATTTGCAGAAGAATCTTCACAACCCTCCAACTGTTGAGTATCAGCCTGAAAAGGGGCAAATGGAGTTGTGTGTCACCACCGGCAGTCAAGAAGGGTTGAGTAAAGTAAGACAAAAGCAATATATGTTGAAGGTTATGAGAATTATTCCCTGTTTTCCTCAATGCGGTGCATTGTTACCTTGCATTGCAAAGATTCAACTACTGGCTGGCAGATAAAACACACTAATACTGACATAATATCTTAGGATCCATACAGATGTACTTTTAATATGGTGTCAGCATAGTTCTTACCTCCTAAACGGTTAACTCAGCTTTACCTGAATTCTTATCTTCTAAGGATTCCTTTGCCAACTGAGGTTGCAGTCCTAACTCCACTTACTGGGGGCAAGCCCAGGTGAATCCAACAGGACTTAATTCTGAGTAGGCATGCTTAGGATCGCACTGTGGGAAGTCTGCCATGCCACTTTTCCAGACCTCTAGCTGAAGAAGATTAGATACATCTGACAAGAACAACCTGCATGTTTTCACAAGCAGGACAAATAGGACCTTTGGTGTGCGTAACTTGCATCTGGAAAATAGCACTGAGGGAAGTTTAAGTTCCCCTCTCCAGCACCATGACCCTGTTCCAGTTTTTGCCTGCTCCCTCCCTCCAGATCATGGGTCTCCTTCATCTCCTCTAATTTGGTCCCTGTGATTTGTTAACATAGTGATTTTAATAAAGATTTTATTATTTTTCTCATTGGGTTTTTTTTGGGGGGGTAAGCCATCTTGAACTTCTTTGAAAATTAGGCAAGGCTCCATTTTCAGAAATCCTAAAGGCAAGGGAAGAAGAACCAAAAGCAGCCAAACTGCCACATCTTTTGCTGGCAATAGTTCCTCTTCAGCTCAGTATTAGCCTGCCTGTTTGATCCAAGCTGCTCTGTTCTCAGGGCTGGCCCTACCATGAAGGTGGCACTTTAGGTGGAAAATATTGCAGGGCAGCAAGCCCTGTGTTGTGTGCATGTGCTGTGCAACTTGTCCTGCAGCCGCTTAACTAAGCCACTGCCTTGGGGTGCGCTGGAGTTTCAGTGGTCTCCTGAGCTTTTGAACCTTGAATGGGACTGGGAGGAGGCAATTTCTCACCCTTTCCTTCAGGCAGCAAAATGTCTTGGGCCAGCCCTGTCTGTCCTCCTCTTGACTCCACCCAGGCTTACAAACACCCAGGCAGAGGAGGAGGAGGAGAACAGTGATGGTGTCTGCAGCTACCCAAGTTAAGAACATCACCAGCATCATTTCTTATATGTAAAAGCACCAAAAATGTCCTAGGCACATCTGTAGTTAGATAAAAGTACACAAGCCCCGTTCTCAGGAGGCTGTTCCCATTCCACATTGCTGTTTTTAGAGTAGAATTGCTGCATTTGACATCATAATCTATGCAGTTTTGAAACTGACAAAATTGTTCTTTATTAATTGTTCTTTATTAATAGGTTGCATGTAATTAATTGTTCTTTATTAATAGGTTGCATGTAATTAATTGTTCTTTATTAATAGGTTGCATGTAATTACTGAACATGTACTGCTTTGGCCAACGACCTGTGAAACAGGCAAAGTACACCATGAAATGAGCATTTTGTGCAATATAAATAAGGAGCTGCTTTCTGGCTTTTCGGTCCATTTTGTTGCCACTTATATTCTTATATTCTTAGGAGCACAAAATTGGACTGTGATAGCGCAGTTGAGTAGGACTTTATGTGCCATAACTTTGCTATCCATTTAATTAGCATTCATTTGTAATGTGTTATGCAAGGTTGTTTTTTTTCCTGGCCTGGACATTATTGAAAGGGTGAATGTATATTTTTGAGGGTTCCCCCCCCCTCCACAAATTTAGCCATAATTCACCCAACGAACAGTTCTCTACTTCCTATAATACTTTTTCCCCATCTTAGAATCAACTTTGGTCTACAAAATAGCTAACTCTTTACTACCATAAGGCACTTTCTGAAGAAGTAGAGAGAAATATTAATGGTACACAGAAAGTCTTGCAATAATATATGTTATATATTTTAAACATGTAGGTATTTGAAATGCTGATTAATCCTGGAGACACGGTCCTTTTAGATGCGCCCACCTATCCCGGGACACTGGCAGCTGTGAGTATTCCATCATTCTGGAAACCTATGACAGTGGCAAGTGCTGGTATAGTTCGGATCTTCACCTGAAAACAAGTGGGGTGGAATCTACACATATATTTAAAAAAACGCTGTGAAAATGCTTTTTGAGATAACGTTTTTAAAAATATATTGAATTTTGCGTTAGCTCACTAGCACCATCTAGGGTCATATTTGCATAATGCACTTAAAACACACTAAGACATTATATTAGCAGCTGTAAAGCTTGAGTCCTTGGTTTGACTGACTGCTGCTTAACAGCGGGCTAGAGAGGTTTTTTTAACCCTTTCCTGAACTCTAGACGCACGGGCCACATCTGCACTAACCTATTAAAGCACAACGAAACCACATTGTAAAAGCCACAGCTTTGTAGTTTTGTTAAGGGTGCTGCGAGTTGTCACTTTCTCCTCACAGAGCTACATTCCCAACAGACCCTGGGAAGAGGAATTGATTATTATTAAACCACTCCGGGTAATTTTCATTGAGACGACAGCACATAGGATCAGGAGGTTTAACCCCATCATTGCTGCTGTACTTCTTTTGAAAATCCTTCCAGCAGCTGTTATTGGCCTCTGGAGGGAGTCACCCATTCATCCCAATGGGAGATTTTCTTTCAGGCATAATTGCGACCACGGGGTGGTGGCGGCAGAATTTCATCACATTCACAGTGGGTTAATAAAGGTTAAACCTCCCCTTGCCACACACTGCAGTCCTAGTGAAATCCACCCCTTTGGCTGCTATTACTATTTTTAAAAACCCTGACATGGTTACTGGAGACACATTTGGTCTGGTATCCTGTATACACTTGTCTATAGGAATATAAGAAGCTGTGTTATGCTGAGTCAGGCCATTGGCCCATCCAGTCAACTCTGACTGGCAGCAGTTCTCCAGGATTTCAGGCAGAGCAATTTCCCAGCCCTGGTCAGAGATGCTGGGGATTTCACCACAGACCTCCTGCCTGTGTCCACTTCCCATTGAATGCAGTAAAACTTACCGTATTTTTCGCTCTATGAGACGCACTTTTCCCCTCCTAAAAAGTAAGGGGAAATGTCTGTGCGTCTTATGGAGTGAATGCAGGCTGCGCAGCTTTCGCTGAAGCCAGGAGAGCAAGAGGGATCGGTGCGCACCAATCCTTCTTGCTCTCCTGGCTTCACGGATAGCTGCCCGAAGCCTCCTGAGCGCAGCGCTCAGGAGGCTTCATGTTGCTTTCGCTGAAGCCAGGAGAGCAAGAGGGATCGATCCCTCTTGCTCTCCTGGCTTCACTTCACTGGAGAGGCGCTGCGCAGCTTTCCCTCTCTGCACAGCGCCCCTTCAGCGAAGCGGGAGGAGAAACAGCCCCTTCCGTTTCTCCTCCCGCTTTGCTGGAGAGGCACTGAGCAGAGAGGGAGAGAACTTTTTCTTTTCTTGTTCGCCTCCTCTAAAACTGGGTGCATCTTATGGTCGGGTGCGTCTATAAGAGCAAAAAATACGGTATTTCTGAGTAGATGTGCGCAGGCCTATGCTGTTAGCATCACATCTGGCTTCTCCACACATTCCTGTTCATGGGAGGGGATTGTGTGGCGATAACTAAACGGCGAGCTTTCATGTGCAAAAACTGGCTTTGCGGCTCTGTAGTTTTAAGCATGTGCCTCATGCGTTTAGATGAAATACAGTAATGTATAATAGCCGTAGATGCAGAGAAACGCTGGGATAAATCTTGTTCCTGTCAATATTACATACAACAGTTCAGCCTTCCCTGATTCTGCAAATCATTGTGGTGTCTGGATGATTTATGGTTCGACTTAGTGTTGTTGGCAATATTTTTTCATTATCCATTCCGGGGGGCCCAGTATAAAACTTAAATGCAGCTGCATTTCATTTATGGCCAATAAATGAAGGGCTAGTTAGTGCAGAAAGAGAAATTACAGACTCTTTATTTTAAACCTCAGCTATAACTGCCCACACCTTTGTATTTTCCTCTGGTTGCTCCATTAGCATTATTGAAATTTCAGGCCTGTTTCTGAATACCTTGCGTTTTGGAGCAATTATCCTTTCTTTTGTTGAGGCAAGTTATTTATGGTTCCGGCAGTTTCACCCGATCGGGAATGAGAGATAAGACTATGAGCTGCTCCTCACATTATGTGATAGAAAACCCAGCTTTGCTCCCAAACTTTACACTTAAGAGGAAACTGTGTCCGGTTCTGGGTCTCAGCTGTCTCTTACGTTTGTGTATCGCATTCTTAAGTTATACATTTAAAAAGTGTTAAGTATACATCTATAATGGGTGCCAGAGGTGAGCAGGGCCAGAGGCAAAAGTGAATGAAGTAACATGTGCAAATTTCACCATTGTAGTATGGACACAGGTTTGTACACACAGTTGTCACACACCACTGTCTAACCTCCATCCAGACAAGCAAGAAGCATTAAAATTCAAGGTCATGTTCCAGACAGGCCCAAACTGTGGCCTAGGGAATGTTCTGAGGGCCAGATAGAGATGCCTAGAAGACCTGAGGTTCCCTGTGCCAATCTATAACATTTAAAGTGTGGCGCAACCATGCAAGCCAGGTTATGTGTGACAGTTGCGTCTCCATGTTGTTGCAATTGTTGGAAGGGATGCGATAAAACTCGCAAAACCTGAAATGGGAACCTCTCCACATGAACTGCTTGGTGTGCTTTGTTTGTTTATATAGAGATTTTTATATGGTTGCTCTGGCATGTAAATCAACCCTTATGTTGTTTCTGTGTCTCACCCCTGTCTCATTTGTTTCATAGATGTTCTCATTACTACTGTGGTGGCGAGCTTGTTATTTTTAGTTATAAAAGCTTGCATTCTTGGGCATAGAAAAAAATTGGTGGTACAAGGTTCATTCCGAAACTGAGTACGACCAGACCGCAAATCAGTTGTATAGCAGGATATGCTAAAATGCTCAGAAAGGCCAGTAAGCATGCAGATTAGCTTTCCCGTGATACATGAACACATTTGGCTGCGGTTCTGTGCACATCTATTAGGAGTAAGCCCCACTGAACACAGCGAGACAGACTTTTCACCACTGCATAGCACCTTCAACTGTTCTAAATAGATCTCCTCTTCGATCTCTGTCTATTCTCCCTCACAACACCTTATTCCAGGGATGCCCTCTTAGAATACATATGTAGCACCATCTCAATGTCTCTCCAATTGCTTCCTCAAAACACAATTTCTGTGATTCCCCTACTTCATTGTTTACACCCCATATGCAACAAAATCTCAGTAAGCTGCATTTGCTCACATAGGTCTCTTGTTGCCGCTGCTTTTCCCATTCCCACCACTCCACAGTAATATTTTAGACGGGGAAGCAGATGTGGGGGTGCAAATGTTTTGTGGTCTTTTTGCTTAGGAAGTATTATTGCCATATACACTGATTTTTATTTTTTTAAATGGACAAATGATTACAAAAGGGTAAGCTAAAGATTAAGGTTTTGGACCAACTTCTGCTCATGAACGGGTCAACAAGTTTTCAAGCTCCACAAAACCACAAAAAGTGCTTACAAAGGATTTCTGCTTCTGCAAGAGAACTTCCCTTTTCCTCCTCTCCCTGCTCACTCTCTGTGCCATCCACAAATCTGTGCCAGAAGGCTGAAGGAACCCCCAGAGCAGATTTAAACTCCTTGCTCTAGTGAAACTACTTCACAGGATGCCATCCTATATTTTATGTTCTGTTCCATGTGATTTAAACCCTCGGTTTCACTATATACTTTATGGCAGGCATAGGCAAACTCTGGCTCGCCAGGTGTTTGGGACTACAGTTCCCATCATCCCTGACTACTGGTTCTGTTAGCTAGGTATGATGGGAATTGTAGTCCCAAACATCTGGAGGGCTGGAGTTTGCCTCTGCTGCTTTTATGGTGTTCTCCTCCCCAACACCAAGTGTATATGCAGCAAACAGAGTGTGATACCATGTGTGATCAAGCTGTGAAAAAGATGGAGGAAAAGAGGGAAAATGTAAACCCGGAAAGGTGATCAGCTAGTCAAGAATGAACTGTCAGTGATTCTTAATTAATCTGCTTTCTTAAAGATAGGCTTCCCTTACATGACAGCTGGTGGGATATGGGAATTAGGCAGTGTAAAGATCATTTTTTGATTGGCAGGGATGGGAACCTGTGGCCCTTGAGAAATTTCTGGTCTTTGACCATGGTGGCTGGGGCTGATGGGTGTTGGAGTCCTACAGCATATGGAGGGCCACATGCTCCCAACCCCCAATTTATGGTAAATAGGCCCCATTGAAATACTGTAGCAAGAGTAGTTGCATGTGATGCAAAATGTCTTGCTTAAGTAAATGCTCTTCATTCTTGTTGTCTTCTATTATAAACCAGCTGAGGCCGTTGGGCTGCAACATTGTCAATGTTCCCAGTGACCAACATGGCATTATTCCAAAAGCCCTGAAAGAAGTTCTTTCCAGGTGGAGCCCAGAAGATGCCAAAAAACCTAACAGCAGCCTCCCCAAATTTCTCTACACAATTCCTAACGGTGGCAATCCTACTGGAGCCTCACTGACGACAGACCGCAAAAAAGATATCTATCAGGTATATTCATTAAATGTGCATTTAATGTCACTGCTCTAGCAAAAAAAAAGTGGGGAAAGTGGTTTCACACACATCACGCGGACCTGCTGGATATTATGTCTCAGGTACTAGCAAAATATTGACTAATAAAGAACATAGTGAAGAACAAACCTCTATATTACAGGGACTCTTGGGAGAGGTCAGTGGATTTTGGTACATTCTCTTCACAGAGATACAGAAATCTTCTCATCTGTAGTGGTTGGTGGGTGGAGAGGGACACTTAACTGATCTCCCATCCCTGGCATTGGGGGGCAGCAGAGAGATCAGTGCAGTGAATAATCACTCATAGGAATGCCATATGCATTGGTTCCACCAATTGGTTCCACCAGGGCATTTGCACCAAGCCAATTTTCCTGCTGTCTTACCCCCTTCCTCTCAGTAAGCCACGCAGCAGCCGTGATGTGATGTCAGGAAAGCACTGCTGACCACCACCGCCGTTGCTGCTGCTGCTAAGATCCATCTATGTGGAAATCGGACCCCGAATGAACCCTCTGAGACTTAATGTAATTTCTGAAACTAATAAAAGTGGCAGTGCTGCCAGTAGATGTGTTGCTTGGTCGTGATTGTAAACACATCAGTTCTTAATTCTAGGAGAGTTCAACAAGGTAAGTAATTTGTTTAAAGCTTAGAACGGTTTGGGACTAGGCCATTTGAAGCCCAGCCACTGCCATCATGTCCATAAGAACTTGCCTGGGCCTGAAGATCAAACTGAGAAGTGTTGTTCTCTGGCCTGCCATGTTAACCACGCTGGCAGGTGCAAGGGGCAGGGGCCTTTCAGCAGTGGCTCCAAACTTGTGGATTTCCCTCTCCCAATAGCTGTGCTTGGTTCCCTCTCTGGTTGCCTTTAAACAGTCCCTAAAAACTTTTATTTTTCCAATAGTTGTATTGATCTTATTGCTGACCCCTCCTCCATATATGCTTTTAATCTGATATATATATATATATATTATATGCAGGTTTTGGTGTCCTCGGGTGTCTTCCCGTGTAAAAGTTGGGGTGTCTAGGCGACGTTTCGACGAGGTCTCACTCGTCATCTTCAGGCTGGTGCTTTCGGCTTCTTGTTACTGGAACAGAGCAGGATCTCAGTGTTTGAGTTCCTATAAATACTGTTGAGGGGGGTGTGGTGTATAGCCTCCAATTTCTGGGCAGAGAGGAAGTTCCCAGGTTAGTGTGCTTTTTCTTCTTTTGTTCCTTAATTACTTGAGGGATATCTTGAGTGATTTCTTGAGTGATATCTGAGTACCACTTAGGTGGGTCATTAGGTGTGGATTAGTTGCTAAGCCTTCGTGTCTTGACCTCTTGAACTTTGTGAAGAGTTTTTCTGAGAAGATGGCTGTACTGCAATTAGTTGTGCTCTGGCTTGGCTTCGTGTATAGGGCGAGCTGTGGTTTGTGTCCTGTGCCAGCCAGATCTGTGTAGGGATTGCAGGGGGGTGCAGCATCCGGAGGTGCCACCATGGTTTGGCTACTGGATGGTGTCTGTAATTTATCTGTGGAGGGATCTGGGTTTGGGTCTGGTGTGGTTGATTGGTGATGGCGTTCTGTGTGCCTCTGGATCTGGTGTCGGTTTTTGTGGGGAGGGCTAATTTCCAGATGTCTGGCAGGCGGGATGTGTCGTCACGCTTGTTCATGTTGTGAGGGTGTTTCTCTATCTCGATGGCTTCCATGATTATTCTCTTGTGGTGATGTTCCATGTTAGAGAGCAATTTGGAATCTGCAAAATTAATTTCGTGTCCTGTTTCTTTCATGTGTTGGAAAAGAGAGGAAGTTTTTCTTCTTTTTGACGGCATTCTTGTGTTCTGCGATACGTGCATTTATTCGTCTGTTTGTTTGTCCAATGTACGTGGCTGGGCAGACTTTGCAGGGTATTTCATAGACCCCTTGGTTTTCCAACTGGATTTTATCCTTGGGGTTTCTGAGGATATTTGGCTATTTTTTGGTTGGTGCAAAAGGCTGTTTTGATATTGTGTTTATGGAGGATTTTGCTAATTTTATCTGTAGTGCCCTTGATATAAGGAAGGAGGGCCATGCCATTGTTTTCTTCTGTGTCTTGGTTTTTGGGGGGTGTTTCTTTTTGCATTAGCTTCGTAACCCTGTTTTGCTGGTATCCATTGGCGATTAACACATTTGGAGAGATTCTGTAACTCAGTTGTCAAGTGGTCTTTGTCAGCCAGGCGTTTGGTTCTGGAGATGAGAGTCTTGGCTACGGAGTTTATTTGTGCAGGGTGGTGGTGTGATTGTGCATGTAAGTAGCGGTTGGTGTGTGTTTTTTTTCCGGTAGATAGTGTGTCCTAGGGAGCCATCAGGTTTTTTGTAGATTAGGACGTCAAGGAAGGGAAGTTGGTTGTTGGCTTCTATTTCCATAGTGAATTGTATTTTGGGGTGTAGGCTGTTGAGATGTGTGAGGAAGCTATCTAGTTTTTCCTTCCCGTGTGGCCAAATTACAAAGGTGTCGTCAACATATCTGAGCCACAGTTTGGGTTTGTGTTCTGACTTGTCTAAAGCATTGGTTTCAAAGTGTTCCATGTACAGGTTTGCGATGACCGGTGAGAGGGGTGATCCCATAGGTGCTCCTTCTATCTGTTTGTATCTTTGTCCATTGTGGATGAAGTACGTGTTGGTTAGGCAGTGGTTGGTCAGGTCCAGGATGTATTCGGGGGGATTGTATTTGTTTTGAATGGCTGTCAAGGCTTCATTAATGGGCACTTGTGTGAAGAGAGATACAACATCGAAGCTCACAAGTAGGTGAGCTTTTACACGGGAAGACACCCGAGGACACCAAAACCTGCACACATATATATACATACATATATATACATACATACATACATTCATGTAGTTCAGTTCTTCTGGCTCTAGAAGCCAACAATGTCTCTTTTAGAAGAAGCCTGCTGCATCACATTGAGATCTGTGACCACAGCACTTCATGAAGACACAACGCCTGCAATTCTGTAAAATTATTATTCCTCCTAGCAGCATAGATTTCCATTTGGGGAGGTCACATAGGCCACTTCCCTTAATCAATTGTTCAAATTGCTACTGTAACATTAACATAACCCAGGGTTGTAATTAAGGTCTGGGTTTTTTTAAAAAGAAAAAACCAATTACAGTGGTACCTCGGGTTACAAACACCTAGGGTTACAGACTCTGCTAACCTGGAAGTAGTACCTCAGGTTAAGAACTTTACCTCAGGATGAGAACAGAAATTGTGCACAGGTGGCGTGGTAGGCCCCATTAGCTAAATTGGAGCCTCAGGTTAAGAACGGTTTCAGGTTAAGAACGGACCTCCAGAACGAATTAAGTTCGTAACCAGAGGCACCACTGGAACGGTTCTTTATACAATTATAAACTGAGGACAGGCCATAGTATTCAAGAGAAGCGAACATCCCAAAGTGATACATACAGTGGTGCCTCGCAAGACGAAAATAATCCGTTCCGCGAGTCTCTTCGTCTAGCGGTTTTTTCGTCTTGCGAAGCAACCCTATTAGCGGCTTAGCGGCATTAGCGGTTTAGCGGCTATTAAAGGCTTAGCGGCTATTAAAGGCTTAGCGGCTAAAAGGCTATTAGCGGCTTAGAAAAAGGGGGGAGCGAAAAAAAATCGCAAGACTCGCAAGACGTTTCCATCTTGCGAAGCAAGCCCATAGGGAAAATCATCTTGCGAAGTGCATCGAAAAACGAAAAACCCTTTCGTCTAGCGGGTTTTTCGTCTTGCGAGGCATTCGTCTTGCGGGGCACCACTGTACTCCTGGCAAATGCCATTCCAGCAATTCCCACGACAGATATAACTTAACAGTGCAAAAGATGAAAACTTATCTCCAGAACTTGCCTGCTTCTGGGTGTATACTGCCTGAGTGAAGTCAGTGGAGAAGTAGTAGGCTTGAAAGTAGGAGATGTAAAACCATTGATAAATCCAGTATTGGGAAACGGTGTTACCTATGGAACAGAAGTACTGCAAGTTACACAGCTGTAGATTTAAGAGACTCTCAAGAGTGCTTGAAATGACCTCACAGGACTGATTTTTACATTAAGATCAGCACTTGCTGGCCCAGGTGTATAGCCCAGCTAGACCAGGATCCAGTCCTCACAGTGGTGAACCACTTCAGTTAGTTAATTTATTTAGTGTGCTGTTCTTCCTCAGAAGATCACAGGGTGGTTCGCAACATAAAAATACAAAATGAGAACACAAAATACTAAATAGAACAAAAGCAAAGCAATAATCACCCTGCCAAACACACATTTAAATGGTCTGGTTATGGAGTAATGTTTTTGCCGGGCACCTAAATATATGTAATGAAGGCACCAGGTGAGCCTCCCTGAGGAGAACATCCTACAGATGGGGAGTCACCACAGAAAAGGCCCGCTCTTGTGTTGCCATCCTCTGGACCTCTTATGGAGGGGGAGCATGAAAAAAGGGCCTCGGATGATGATTGCAAGGTCCAGGTTTGCAGTCCTTGACATAATTGTGGCCCTGAGCTGTTTAAGGCTTCATAGGTCAAAACCAGCACTTTGGATTGGACCCAGAAAATAATTGGTAACTAGTGCAGTCGGGCCAGGATGGTTGCAATATGCTCAAACTGTCTTGCTCTAGTAGGCAACCTGGCCACAGAATTCTGCACCAGCTTAAGTTTCCGAACTGTCTTCAGAGGCAGCCCCATGTACAATGTGTTGCAGTAATCTAACCTAGAGGTTATCAGAAGCATATGGAGACCTGAAAGCCTGATCTGAGTGCATCCCACCCCCAACTTGTGATTCCCAGCAACTGGCATTCAAAAAGACATACTTAACATTTCTATTTTAAGTTTTTGCCTTTTATCTCTGACCCAAGTGTTATGCTTATGCTATGGCTTCTCAAAAAATATGGGTATTCTGGACAGTTTTCATGAATTCCAAGGAAACTATCTGAAGTGCTCATCAGAAGTGAGGTTATGATCAGAAACAGCCCAGTCCTGTGTCTCAACCAATTTTCTCTTCCAAATTACCCATCTTCCTTTTGCATGGAGAATATTCAACATGTGCCTGGGGACACTGGATTGCAAAAAGGAAGGAGAATGAAGCATACTTCCTCGTAAGACCTATGTATTCTGGGTGTACAGTCAACTGCCATGGGGCAGGCTGTCTCAAATCAATTGCTCCTTTACACAACAAAACATTTAGTGTCTGCAGAAAGTTAGCATGTAAGGGAGAGGCTGAGGTCAAGACCTCTTAAGCACTGCACGTAGTTTGGAAGTCTGAAATGCAAGGATGATTCTGCCATGCAATTTTACTTAATATGTAGCTTGAGCGTAACACCTGGTCTTAAGATTATGAGGATAAATAATCAAGTCCTTAGTTCATATCATCACTTCAATTTACACTGAAGGGGATTTAACAGAATTAATAAGATCCAAGAGGCCTTCTTTCTCATTGTCTTTAGCTACTCCAACTTGCTGCTACAAAATAATATAAAAATGAGGAACATGGTGTAATGCTCATATATGGGTTGAGAAGTAAGAGTACGTAAAACAGATTCAGGAAGTACACCAGTTATTATGGAGCTATAAACTGAATCTAGTATGCCCCGATTATATTCAAGACTAAGTAACAGCATGAACATTTAAAAAGCAACAAAGGAATGATTCTGAAGTGCTTACCAGTGATGGATCAAGATAGCTATGTGTTGTTGACCACGTCTGTGGGGCAATTAAGCTGTACAGTGGAAACTGCTGTTGGGGGCTGTATACTGGAGGTATGTAAAATGATGTTGTATAACGCTGTGTGTAGATGTTCATGTCCAGAGGTCTGTATCCATTCTTTGGCAAAAATGTGTTTATAGCTATAGCCTTTGCTTTTATTCTTGCCTAGAAGACAGAAGAGCATGATCTTAGAGGAATCAGCCTAAGAGAAAGACGACCACTCTCAGAAGTATTTCAGTGAACACTAAAAACAAAACGTATTTACCTTAATTGGTTTTCCTTGGAAGGTTTTCACTTCTTCTCTAAGGTATCTATAAGCCTTTAAGAGTGAAAAATAGGTTTGTGTGAAAGGCAGCAGATATAGCAAGTTAACAAGAAAAAGTATATCATTATGCACACACAGATATTAACTCAAACAATATCAGTTCTTCCCTATTTAAGAATACTTGGGTCCAATTCAGGTTTATCCTGGATTACAGACAGGTCCTCAGCATATGGTCAGAGGCATTATCAGGTTTCATTTTAACCCTGCTTGGCAATGATCATATGTGGTACTAAAATCACAGTAAAGATGAGAGCAGGAAGCTACTTACTCCATTTCAAAAATTCCACTCTAGGGTCTAAACCAGCTTTTGAGAGCAGCCCAGACAAGAAAGGCACCATTAAGACTTATCGTAATCACAACAGCAGTTGGCTGAATCACTCCTTTTAGTAGGATTTAAAATTTCCAAGAAGTACATGTATTCTAGACTTAATTATGGAAACCATGACTAAACAATGAATTTCTCTGAATTATGAAGGCTGCTGTGCAACTATATGATGTCTTCCTGCCATTTCTGACATGAACATTGTATTATGGACCAACTTTCTTTGTGGAGGTCTGTTCACACCACCTCAGTCAAGAGTGTCACAGTAATTAATCTCCAACAAAACCGATAATTGACACAAACTAAATATGTGCAACAAAAAAGTGAGAGCTTACCTGCTGTGCATCTGCTTCCGACTCAAATGTAATAAACCAGTTGTCATTATAGGCAAACTCACAGTTGATGAACCTAGGCAAGTTATCTCCCTTGAAGAGTGCTTCGACCTCCTAAGGAAAGATTGGTGGGAAAGAGGTTTCACTGACAAGTACAACAGAAGGTTCATTTAGGACCAAGCAAGTAAAGGCCTCATTAGAACTGATGGCAAAAAGGACCCAGGCACAAAAATATCACTGACTATCCTTAATTTCAACAAGAAAGGGCTATGGAGCAGGGTACTTACACTGTCCCATCATTCCAGGGACCTGATTTCTTTTCAACTATGCAAAGGCTGCCACCTAAAGGTTTGATGTTGGTGCCTAAACAATTTCAGGGTGGCACCTGACTAAGTCACACCTATCACTAATTTAAAGTCCATTGATTTCAATTGGGTCTATTCCAGTACAGTTCAGATACTACTCACTGAACTGTAAATACAAAGACATACCGTGTTAACCTTCAATTAACAGATTAACAGCAGATACACCCTTGATTGACGTTCCTAAGTCAAACTTTATGACTCAGGAAATTGTGTTTTCCTGTTAATACCACTCTGCATGAACACCAATATTACTTTTTTGATTTCTTAAAACATCTCTTTCTCTTCAAAGAGCATTTACTCAACCTCCTTGATCTCTTCTGCTGTCAATGAGCTAGTTAGAACACCTCACTCAAAATGTTTCCCATTGCTCTACATTTATTGATTTGGAATCTGTCTTCCAGGAGCAGCCTTAACTTTATGGTGGAAGCATGTAGAGAGGCACTCGCTGTCTAAAAGGCTCCAGAAACCTCTTTCTGACAAGGTATAAATGGCATCTCAGCGGCAATTCAATATTTCTTTAAACAGGTATTTAGTTATTGGTTGAGTGTGGGATTGTTTTCCTTGTACGCTTTATAAAGTTGTGAGTGATATCATGAATGCACAATTATATGGAAGTAAATCTAACTTGGAAAATATTATATGGAAGAAAAGCTTACTTGGCCACAAGTGATCGCCAAGAGAGAGAATCACAATTAAAGCTGTAGCCACCTAGCACCATGGCAAAGGTATAGGGTGGGTGGGATTTTTTTAAAGCATGTTGCGAATTGTTTGTCTGCTGTATACGGAACTTACTTCAATTGGAGTAGATTCAGGTACTTCACGTAAAATCACAATGCAGCGATTCTGGTTTGGCCTGACTTTTTCACCCTTCTCGTCCACTTGGACTAAAGGCAATGCTAGGGGAAGACACATACAACACAGTTACTTTGAATTCAACCAGTTAAGCAAAGGCTTTGTTTTGCACGCACTGCAGTTTTGTAGGACTAGAGTAAGATCTGTTACCTTATTCATCTCCAGTTTGTAAATAAATGTGTACAAACGTGGAACATGCCTGTCAAGTCTCCCAGGCAAACAACTTACTTTGGGAAAGATCCTGGAGTGTTCACCACACCTCTTAGTGAAGCCTTTCAGAGGGGGGAACCCACTCCTACCGGTCTTATTCTGTTTGAAAGTCCACCTTGTATTGCCCTTTTCCCCACTTTGAAATGAAAGAGTGTACATTCCAATACTACTCTTTGGTACTACACTAAACAAATCATCAGGAGTGACAATCAAGCGCTTCACTTATCAGATTCCAAACTGCCTCACACCAGTGATAATTACTTTCAAATACTTTAGCCATGATACAAAAAAAATTACGTTTGGCAGGTTTAATTAGTAAACTGCTAAATAAAAATTGCAAATGGTGTGCTGGAGCAGAAGCCTGTTAGGTATCTTTTGAAACCAACTTTGGAGAACTTCCACTTAGAAAAGTCTGTAGTGGCTGACGCTAAACAAGCTACATACTGAATATACGTTTAACTGCAACAATGCAGAAAGCCTCAGCAGTATCATTAGGATACCCAAGTTGAACAGTTTGACAGAGGGGCATTCTCCAATAAATCTATTGTATAAAACAGAAGATTAAATGGCAGGTCTCTCGCTGCAAGCATGAATTTACTGCTATGACAGGTTTATTGTCATTTAAGTACAGTTTTCTAAATGTTGCACTCACCCGCTGGCTTCAACCCTCCCCTAATGCTATGCACCTCACAGAACAAAAACTCACTATTCATCTTCAAGTCAAAAATAGGTGCTTTGTCAATTACTTACATCGCAGCACTTCAACAATCAAATCCATATCAGTACTCAGCTTCTTGACGTGATCAAGGTTTGCTACTGTCATTATTGGCACATACTGATCACTGTCCATCTGAGATATAAGGTACATGTCACTGGCAAGATTCTCTCTGTTGAAGGAAAGCAGAGTCTTCATTATAAAACTCCTTTCTTTATCTTTACACAAGTGAAAAAGTTGCATTTGACTTTCTTATCGATCAACATCCATGTACAGTGGACGCTTGGGTTGCAAACGTGATCTGTGCAGAAAGCACATTCGCAAACCCGCAGCGTCCGCAACCCACAGTGCTGCGTCTGCGCACGTGCGGGTTGCGATTTGGCGCTTCTGCGCATGCACAAAGTGTGATTTAGCGCTTCTGCACATGTGCCAAAACCCAGAAGTAACCCGTTCCGCAACCCGAAGTGTCTGTAACCCGAGGTATGACCGTATTAAGGAACTGTCATGTATTTACTTAAAATTCCCTTTGCTACTAGAGTGAAGGAAACAGCTACCTATGAAACTATGTTAGCTTTGTTGCTTGGGGGGGGGGGGAGAGAGAGAGAGAGAGAGAGAGAAGCAGGGATTTTCAACATAAGGTGCACCAAACTGGATGCAGCCCACCTGCCAGGTACTTTTAAAACTATGTTTTACAGCGCTAGGGAAACAGAACAGCAAAAAGATCATCAAGTCCATAATAGGCCACTTTAGGTTGGACTGGCTGACCCTTGAGGTCCCTTCCAACTCCACAATTCTATGAATCTATGTAGCTGGTGCGCTGAGTTTAGCTCCGTAGCTCACACACAGACAAGGTTTGTTCAAAACATCGTAGAGCTGGAAGGGTCTCTAAGGATCATCTAGTCCAACACCCTGTAATGCAGAAATATGCAGCTGTCCCTTATTGGGATCAATCCTAAAACCTTAATGTTATCAGAACCACATTCTAACCAGCTGAGCTATCCAGCTGTCACCTCCAGATGTTGAGACGTATATTTTATCTCCCATCAAATTAAGTATGGGGTCACAGAGGCTCATGCATGGATAGTATTTGAAGTTTTGGTCTTGAAAATAGCTCAGTTAAGATTTCCAAGCAGCTCCGTACATTAAACAATCAGCATACAGGAGGTATCAGTGCCAACCCCCCCCCCCAAAAAAAAAACCCACCTTCCTGCTACAGATGACAAGCCACAATTGACTTAAATCCATTCTCAATAGTTACTGTTTTCTAAAGCACTGAAAACAAATCTGGCTGCAGATAGAATGAGTGAGTGGCAGCTTTGTTTTTTTTTTAAAAAACCAACTTATCTTGACAGGCTTCAGTATGCAAATTAGCAAAGCAAGAAGAAAAACAAATTGCATATTTAACTGAGGGAAAAAAAAAGATTCCATATGGATTTACTCTGTAGAATTTTGGTTCCTTCCCATGCTTCTCAATGTCCGAGCCCACTTCATATATGGATAATGAACTTCTATTAAATCCAGATGCCACAACCTTTTTTCCTGCGTTAACGCTTAGCAGTGAAAATGGGTAGTGAGTTATTCCGTAGTAATGATTACTGAAGCCAGGTGTGGAGAACATGTGGCCCTCCAGATATTGCTGAACTGCACTTCCATCACCGCTGCCCATTGGCCATGCTCACTAGAGCTGATCGGGAGTTGTAACTCAACAGCATCTGAAAGGGCAAAGGTTCCTCGCACATGACTTAACCTATCATCCTAAAAGGCAAATATCTGTAAACTGCTCTGGAAGCCTTTTTCTCTTCTGTTATGAAGAGTGGGATAAAAATGTGGGATAACCAACATGCCTAAGTCTAATTAATGCATGAAGAGTTTGATGCCACAGAGTAAGCTGGCAGGCTTAGCTATGTCGCTCCCCTCCAACCTGGGAGGAAGGTAATCAAGCCTTATCGCTGTACCTCACAGTCTACTTGAGAAGCTCAATTTGTGAGATCTGAGCTGCTTGCTCCAAGCGCAGACCACATCACTCTAAGAGGGCTCTCTTAAATTCCTACACCAATAATTTAGGAACTTTCACCAGTATAACTAAGCCAGGTTTTCCTGCCTGTGCAACCTTTACTGAATGCTGCATGGAAAAGCACATGAACCTGTCCTTTGTGAGTATATAAATCAACCTTTTTAACTTATCAAATGAGTGGTCTCTCTCTATGCTGCATATTTTGCAAGAGTATTTTTCCCAAACATGGATATTGGCATCTAAGAATTCTATTTTGTATATATCTCTATTTTCCTTGCTACCAACAAAAATGCTTTAAATAAATAGAGCATGAGTGGTCACTACTGAATAAATGTTATGCTTACCTAGATAAACAGAACTCCAGTGTTTTTTTCAGTACTTCTCGCAAGTCTTCTTGACCTTCTGACTGCAGCTGTTCTTTACCTCCTAGAAACAGAAGACATGAGTTTGACAAAGTTGGGGGAGAAACCAAGCCTTCATAAAAAGTAGCTTCCTTCAAGTGTCAAAGGTCACCTTATTTGCAATGGCAATAGAGGTTAAATAAAGTACCCTTCATACCAACTCATGACACAAAGAGTATCTTGCACATGATCCTAAATATCCGGACTCAGCAGAAACTTTGGTGGAGCTTAGAGACACATAAGCTTGCATCCACAGTCTACCCACCCCATCTCATTAGAAAAGGTTGGCTCCATTGAAAAGCCAAGCAACAATCATTTTATATTACCATCAATACATAAACAACTGACAAATTAGTTAGGATTCCTTTCCAGTTGCAATAGCTTTTAAGAAATAAGGGTGATGTAAAAATATGTAAATATTTGAACAGGAATAAATTTTTATATATCTGGAAGCTATCAAGAAGGCTTCTAGTATTTATTTTTTCTGCTCTGTTATGTACACCCTTTACACACTCAATGCAGACAAAGTATCTCAAACGTCATCTTTAAAACTTGAAATATATTACTGCGGAGAAAGCAGTTTGAAATATGTGCACAGCACCATGATATAATGGTATAATATGAAAAAAAAATTCATTTGTTACTTTCAAAGTACAAAGACCAACATGAAACTCTATGTAAGAAAGTTGCATATTCATTATAATTTTAACAGCAAGTGTATAAGCCAGGATTGTGTTTGGTACTACAGTGGAAATTCTTGCCATCAGACGTCTGCAGCAGACACAAACTAAATTCTTTTTGCTAAACGGCCCTCGGTCCAGTATACCTGAAGGAGCGTCTCAACCTCCATCGTTCTGCCCGGACACTGAGGTCCAGCTCCGAGGGGCTTCTGGCAGTTCCCTCACAGCGAGAAGCCAAGTTACAGGGAACCAGGCAGAGGGCCTTCTCTGTAGTGGCACCCGCCCTGTGGAATGCCCTCCCACCAGATGTCAAAGAGAAAAATAACTACCAAACTTTTAGAAAGACATCTAAAGGCAGCCCTGTTTTAGGGAAAGCTTTTAATGTTTAATAGGTTATTGTATTTTAGTGTTTGTTGGAAAGCTGCCCAGAGTGGCTGGGGAAAACCCAGCCAGATGGGGCGGGGTATAAATAATAAAATTATTATTGTTGTTATTTATTCTATTAATTAAAAAACTTAGATTATCAGTTGGAAAAAAAGCAGAAGGGAGCTCCAAATTGATTAAGATGGATAAAGAGAATTAATATAATGTTTTTGAAAAGTTCCTTTTCTGGACTCAGAAGAAATGACACAAGAATTATAGTGTTAGGCTGCAACTGAACAACATCCCAATGATATCTGCCTGTTTGCACAACAGAAAAATGCTTGTGTAATGTGACTTCCTTAGATGAGTTATTAGGTTTCCCCAATAACATTAGTTTAAAACAGAAAGTACCCCAGGCAGTGAATATCTATCCCTCAGCCTATATACTGTATAAAAATGGTAGAGCTGTGCATTGGTTGAAATCCTATGTTCACACCCTGAAAACACAGTATTGACACTAGCTGCAGAAGTCTGCAAAGCAAGTTTCTGGCCCTGAGATTGTGGAGGATTGATACCATGTAGGCAATGTCATGTGTGGGTTGCACAGTGAGCAGATTTAATGCCCTGCATAGTTGTCTTTCCTTCTGTAACTAGCAAAGGCAGAATTACTGAATTAAGCAATAAAATCTGCATAATGTGGAATCATATCAGCTTTTTCTTGCCGTTTGCCAAAGAAACACAAATTCCCTCATTTAAAAAAAAATTTAAATAAACCATGGCCGATGGTCAGGGATGGGGAACTAGGAGGAGCACCTACTCCCTGAATTATGCACTGTAGGTCACTTTTCATTATACAACTTAGACCTCCAAGATTAACATGTCAACACTACATCCGTGACCCTATAAGAATACCCAGTCATTCTAGTAAATATATTTCACTTACCCAAGACATGAGGTTTCAAAGTTCCTAGCATTGTCTGGGTGTTGAGACTGATCAAAGGTTTAGATTGCTTTTAATGACGGAGGCAAGTTTCAACATTTGAAATATTGTACATATGATTCAATCTGGGTATTTCTTTAAATGTACTGTAGTCACAAGCCTGGGGGCAAAACAGTGGTTTGTCCTAAATGAAGCAGACTGAGCCCCACATATAAATACAATGCAAATGTGCTGGTAAAATTTGTTACATCTTTATTAGGCCACTACTTATTTCAGACTATGCATCAAGGAATTCCTACAACAACGTATTGGTTACTGTTTAAATCATTGGTGCCTATGAATTCAAAGGGTGGGGGGGTTGCCCCAGGTAATTTCCTTCTTCACGTAGCTTGTAATTTACAAGTTCCCTGTCAAAGACAATATTTAGGTAAACTACTGGGGTCATTTTGTGTAAGTTGGAAAACCAATTTTAAAAAATCGATACAAAGGGAAGGCCTCCCTCTTTGCTTACCTGGTCTGAGTGTTTTTCCGTGTATAAGATTCATACTTCTGAATGATCTAAGATGCACAAGGGTTTCCATATCTGTCTGGTCTGACAGTGTGGATGCTGACAGTGATGGTTCCTGCAGTTCTGTTAACGATTCATTCTGGTGCTTTTTGTCACCATCACCGTTGGCCTCCAACCCTGCAGGAAAAGTGGCAGGAGTCACAAACCAAGACATTCTTTATCTGCTTTAAATTAGAAAGAAAAGGCTCAGAGGACCAGCACACTCAGCTAGAATCGTACCTTCTTTGCAGGAATCTGGTGGATGATCTGCTATTTCTTCCCAGGTTTTGCTCACGCCGCCATCATTAGCCCCGCTTGCTTCCACATGTAACATATGATTCCCCCATACTTTTGCATTAGGATTTAGTTCAGAAACCTTGGCCGACTCCTAGGAAATAACAATTGGGTTACGCTCTGTTAACTAAATGCCTGTAATTTTACGTGGTTCCTTATCATAAATGCAACCCACAAATGGTTAAAAGATATACAGCAGTGGAATAAGAGTTCTTGTGGCTAGAGGCCATTCGGTGCTGATGTAAACTCAACCTACGTTACTTGTCAAGGCAAATTCATCCACATTTATCATTTGTATAGCTCTTTGGAATATTCAAAGAAGTAACATCAATTGTCTTAGATTCCAAGTTGTTCTCCTTCTTTTATCCTGGAATATCAACCACATTTATGCCCACATTTATAGTTATGATCAGATTTATACTCCACTTTTCCCACCAAATGGAGACATCCAACTGGTTTTCAACAGTGGCTACATTCACATGGTTACACTAAATCACATTTTAGTGTTACCAATATGAGCCTGTGCAAGTATGGCATTCATGCGCTACCTCCCTCCATGATTTAGCATTAGGAGGAGCTGCCTATGTGAGCCTTGGAACTGCACACTCTCCCATGCCTGGGTGTAGCTATGAGGAGACTCGCAGCTTCTATCTGTTTTTTTAAAATAATAACAACAACAACAACAACAACAACAACAACAACACACACCCCAGTTTAGTGTTATATCTGAGCCCTAAACTGTGGTTAAT